GCCGGCCCCGCACTCACCCAGGGCTTTGCACAGCTCCGGGTGCTTCACGCCGATGGTCTTCAACCGCTGCAGCAGCTCCGACGAGGTCAGCTGCCGCACCAGGTACAGCGCCACGGAGTAGCTCTGCGGACAGACGGGGTGTCAGGGCGGGCGGCGGCTCCAGGCCGCGGGGCAGGCGCGGGGCGCGCTCACCTTGCCGTAGTTACCCCAGGTGACGGTGATGCGGTTGGTGGCCGAGGACAGGTACATGAGGTGGGTGAGGTTGATGGGCCGGCAGGGCCGCTTGGGTTCCACGCCGGGCTTGTTGGAGGGGTAGTAGCCCTGCGGGCGGACGGGCCGTTCAGCGCCGGCTGGGAGGAACCCGCCCCCCCACCCCGCCCCTGCAGGCCCGCAGCGGCTCACCGGCACCGAGCAGTAGCTGTGGTTGACCTTCACGGCGATGTTGGGCGGGTACTGGTCCTCCTGGGGGCAGCTGGTATCTGAGTAACAGATTCTGCAAGGACGGCGACCGCGTGACTTTGGCCTCGGAGGGCGTGGGCAGGAGGGGTGTGGGTGCCTTGGGGAGGTGGGCGGAGGAGGGCATGCCACGGGCTGGACGGCACGTCGGGGTCACGGGCCCGGGGTCTGGCCGGGGTGGCTGTGGGGCAGTGGTGTCCCCACCAGGAGTGAGGGCAGGAGGGGGCTGGGCTCTGCGCTGGCTGGGAGGTCTGAGAGGGGCCAAGGCGGCGGGCAGCTGAGGGCCCCGTGGCGCGGGCGCACCTGTCCTACCTGAGAACAACCTGCACGGCCTTGACCCCGGGCTGCAGTTCTCTGTGGGCGTCAGTGAGCCGAGGAAGGAGAGGAAGGGAGAGTGAGGCGGGTGCCCGGTAGGCCATGCCCACCCGGCAGGGACAAGAACGGGGACCCGCAGGCAAGACTCCGAGCATGGGTGAGTTAGGTGGGTGCCCAGCAGGCCACGCCCACCCATCAGACCCAAAGGGACAGACACCGACGGGCAAAGCCCCCTCCTGGATGCCAGGGTGCTGAGGTCCAGGCCCCTCCACACAGCCTGGGTGAAACAGGTGCATCCAGGGGGCCCCTGGAAAGAGGCTGCCTTCCTGGAGGCCTGGAGGAGCCACCACACAGGTCTAGGACAGGGAGGCTGTGAAGCCCTTGTCCCTGGACAAATGCACTTAGAAAGTGCAGCTAGGCGGGCGCAGTGGCTCACGCCTATAATCCCAGCACTTTGGGAGGGCGAGGTGAGAGGATTGCCTGAGCCCATGGGTTCGAGACCAGCCCGGGCAACTTGGTGAGACCTCATCTCTATGATAAATCAAAAAAATTAGCCAGGCATGGTGACGCGTGCCTGTAGTTCCAGCTACGTGGAAGGCTGAGGCAGAAGGTTCACCTGAGCCCTGCAAGTCGAGGTTGCGGTGGCCGTGAGTAGCGTGTCACTGTGCTCCAGCCTGGACAACAGAGCAAGACTCCAACTCAAAAAAAACAACAAGCCGGGCTCGGTGGCTCAGCCTGTAATCCTGCGCCTTTGGGAGGGGAGGTGAGTGGATTGCCTGAGCCCGCGGGTTCGAGACCCGCCTGGGCAGGCGAGACCTCATCTCTACAATAAATCAAAAAATCAGTCGGGCGTGGTAGCGCGCGCCTGTAATTCCGGCTACTCGGAAGGCTGAGGCGGAAGCATCGCCGGAGCCCAGCAAGTCGAGGCTGTGGTGACTGGGAGCGGCCACTGAACTCCAGTCTGGGTGACCGAGTGAGACTCCAACTCAAAAAAAAAAGAAACAACAAACCCCCCCAAAACAAAAAAATAACAAAAAACAAAATTTTCAGCTAGTAGCCAGATGTAGTGACTCATGACTGTCATCTCAGTACTTTGAGAAGCAGAGGCAAGAGGATTGCCTGAGCCTAGGGGTTCGAGACCAGCCTGAGCAACTTGGGGAGACCTTGTCTCTACAATAAAATTTTTTTTTTAAAAAGCAGCCAGGTGTGGTGGCATGTTCCTGTAGTTCCATCTATTCAGGAGGATGAGGATGGAGGACTGCCTGAGCCCAGCAGGTCCAGGCTGCAGTGCTGTGAGCCTGCCACTGCACTCCAGCCTGGGCTACAGAATGAGACCCTGACTCAAAAAGAAAGAAAGAAAGAAATGTGCAGTTAGGGCCCACCAGCCCAGCACAACAGTGAGAAGCACACAAAACATCTGTAATAAACTCCACCAAGAAACGTACCCAAGACAAGCGCAAAACACGTCTACCCCCAGAGTCACACAAGAATGTCCTCCGAGACCTGAGGGAACTGCCTATGTGTCCACTGAGGGAGAGGGGCTCACACAGCGTAGCCCATCCACACTTAAAACTGACTCAGCCCGAAAAGGAGGGAGGCTCTGACACAGGCTGCGTGGATGGACCATGAGGACGGCATGCTCCCAGGGACCCAGGTGCAGAAGGGCAAGCCCTGTGTGATCCCGTTTCTATGAAATGTCCAGAGTAAGCCAGCACACAGGGACAGGATGTGGATTCACGTGTGCCAGGGGCTGGGGGAGGGGCAGCCCATGGAGATGGACAAGAATGGTCTAGATTAGGCCGGGTGCAGTGGCCCACGCCTGTGATGACAGCATTTTAGAGGCCGAGACTTGAGGATCACTTGAGTGCAAGAGTTCAAGGCCAGCCTGAGTAACAAATCAAAATAAAATAAAATAAAATAAAAAAACTAGCTGGGTATGATAGCTACTTAGGAGGCTGGGGTGGCAGGATCACCTGAGCTCAGGAGGTTGAGGCTGCAGTGAGCCGTGAGGGTTCCACTGCCCTCCAGCCTGGGAGAGTGAGACCCTGACTAAAAAAAAAAAATTTTTTTTTTAAGTTCTAGGCTGGGTGAAATGGCTGACGCCTATAATCCCAGCACTCTGGAAGGCCGAGGTGAGAGGACTGTCTGACCCACGGGTTCGAGACCAGTCTGGGAAGCTTGGTGAGAACTCATCTCTACAATAAATAAATAAACTGGGTGTGGTGGCACCTGCCTGTAGTCCCAGCTACTTGGAAAGCTGAAGCGGAAGGATCACCTGAGCCCAGCAGGTGGAGGCCGTAGTGGCTGTGAGCGTGCCACTGCACTCCAGCCTGAGCGACAGAGTGAGACTCTGACTCAAAAACAGAAAAGAGTTCTAGACTAGGCAGTGGTGACTGAACGAACCAAACCCCACCAAAAGACACTTTGACACAGGGCATTCTCAGAAATGTACGCACACCTCCCTCTAAAATGTGAAAAGGAAAGAAATGCACAGAGCCTCTGCGAAAGACCCGAACGAGAATGGTCACCACATGGTGGCACGGGGCTGGTGATGAGCCCTGTGCCCCCAGGGGGGGACAGCCACGCTGAGACCTCGTTCAGAAAGAGGAGGCTGGGCAGGGCGAGGTCGCCACTGACACCCAGGAGAAGCCCGCGGCCACCGACCCTGAGCCCTGACCAGGCACGGGGGTCAGCTGGAGGCGGAGGGACCCAGGGGGCCAGGGCCCACAACAGGGGATGGCGGGTGTGGGAGCCCGGGGTCAGATGTGGCTCCCGGCCCTGCCCCACCACGAACATGCATGACCTGGCAGGCGGCCAGCCCTGTCTTTAGGGCCTAGACCCCCCAGAAATCGGGCCCATGTGGCTGTCAGGCAGGCAGGCGCAGGGCATCCCGGCAGGAACCCACTGGCTGCAGCCACCGGGCCCAAGAGACCTGGGAGAGCAGACCATGGCAGGCCACACCCAGTTCCTGGGCCTCACAGGTCACAGCTCAGTCGTCCTCACCCGCAGGTAACCCTGTCCCCAGGCACAAGGGGCCATGTCTGGGGACATTTGCAACGGTCACAACTGGGGTGTCCCTGGGGTGGCTGGAGGTCAGTGGCGCTGCTCACACCCCGCAGGGCCAGGAACCCCCCAGAAGGATTCAGCCCTGATGTCCGCAGGGCCTGGGGGAGAAGCCCTGTGAATGAGGGACGGTCACCCCGCTCAGGGCTACAGGCGTCAGGGCGGCTGGCAGGTCCTGACCTGGGACCCAGCTCAGCACATGAGGGCAGACACTGAAGGCCCTGGGTGGACCTTCTCGAGCTCCCGCCGCCCTGCCCCAGCTCTGGAACGTGCTTCTGGCCTGAGCCCTGGCAGAGGCGGGTGGATGTGGCGGAAGCTCCCTGCGCCCACCAGCCTGGACCCTGGATGGTCGCATGGTGGGGGGGGGAGGGGGCGCACCTGGAGTTCCGGATCAGCTCCACCTGGCGTGGCGTCAGCGCGAAGATGCACGGGCTCTCCTGGAGCTTCTCGCTGTTCTGCGGAACTGGAGAGACAGGGGTCAGGGCCATGCCGGGACTTGGCAGGTCCCGAGCCCGGCCGTTCCCACAGGCCTGTCCCTCTTCAGACCAGGAAACGGGAAACACGCCGGACAGACAAGCGGGACAGAGGTAGGGGCTCAGCCCTGACTCAGGAATGCTGAACTTCCGGAGCCTTCAAGGCCTGCGGAGCTCAGGCCTCTCACTGGGAGGACTCAAAACCGCTGGGCGGGGAGGAGAGCCGGCCAGGAAGCTCCTGCCTCGCCCCCACCCCTCGTGCAGCGCACTGGGCCTGGCCCTAGGGGCCGGCCGAAGGTCCTCCCTGGGCACTGTGAGGGCCAGATGGCCCAGTGCTTACAAGTCTGGGTCCTACCATCTCAATTGCAACTGGACTGAGATCCCTGAGGCAGGCAGAAGTGCTCTGAACTGAAAGAGGAAACACAATACACCATTTATGGAATGCAGCCAAAGCATTCCTCAGAGGGAAGGTTATAGCTTTAATGCTTATGTTAAAAAAGAGAGGCCAGCCGGCTCGGTGGCTCAGCCTGTCATCCCAGCACTTTGGGAGGCCGAGGTGAGCGGATGGCCTGAGCCCGCGGGTACAAGACCCGCCCGGGCAACTTGCCGGGACCTTGTCTCTACAATAAATCAAAAAATTAAGCCAGGCTCGGTGGCTCAGTCTGTAATCCCTCGCTTGGGGAGGCTGAGGTGAGTGGACTGCCTGAGCCCGAGGGTTCAAGACCAGACTGGGCAATTGGTGAGACCTTATCTCTACAATAAAATAAAAAAACTAGATGGGCGTGGTAGCGCGCGGCTGTAGTTCCGGCTACTTGGAAGCCTGAGGTGGAAAGACTGCTGGAGCCAGCAGGTCTATGCTGGGGTGGCCATGAGTTTGCCATGACACTCCAGTCTGGAGGACAGAGTGAAACTCCAACTCAAAGAAAAAAAAAAAAGAGAGGCCAGGCACAACGGCTCACGCCTGTAATCCCAGCATTTTGGGAGGCCAAGATGGGAGGATGGCTTGAGCCCAGGAATTTGAGACCAGCCTGGACAACACAGCAAGACCTCGTCTCTATAAAAACAAAAAAAAATTTTAAAAATTAGCTGGGTGTGGTGGCGTGTGCATGTAGTCCTAGGTATTTGAGAGACTGAGGCAGGAGGATCACCTGAGCCCAGGAGGTCAGGGCTCCACTGAGCCATGGTCGCACCACTGCACTCTAGTCTGGGTGACAGAATGAGACCCTGACTCAAAAAGAATGAGTGTTTTCTTTTTTTGAGTTGGAGTCTCACTCTGTCCCCCAGACT